TCTTGAGCGCATATGGTGAAAAACTCACTTGGAAGGGTTAAATGCAGATTATCTTGGTCTGAACACACTATCATTTTTTGCTTAGTTTGAACAGAAGCTACGCTAATTTTTGTATATTTGATTCTCTGTTTCTGCCACGTGATGGGAATCCCGAGGTTACTAGGAATTACACAAGTTTCAGTCTGAATCCAGCACTTATGAAGATCTGAGATGACCAAACACCTAAGAAACATGCCAACCCCTCAGAGGACATTAATTATGTGTACCCATATAAATACACATGAACTAGACGAAATAGCAATATGAGCACTATTTTTTTTTATACATTAGAAGCTGTTGCCCCCGTCAAATTAAAAAAGGTTAGAGAAAACGGTACTGCGCCATGGTACAACAGTAAAACCCACTCTCTCAAGAAAGAACCCCCATAATCTTGAGCGCATATGGTGAAAAACTCACTTGGAAGGGTTAAATGCAGATTATCTTGGTTTGAACACACTATCATTTTTTGCTTAGTTTGAACAGAAGCTACGCTAATATTTGTATATTTGATTCTCTGTTTCTGCCACGTGATGGGAATCCCGAGGTTACTAGAAATTACACAAGTTTCAGTCTGAATCCAGCACTTATGAAGATCTGAGATGACCAAACACCTAAGAAAGATGCCAACCCCTCAGAGGACCTCAGATGATGCCAACCCTGAACCAACATACAAAACTACCAAATTTTCCTATAAGTTTGATCACAACATATAATAATTGCTGCTAATAGTGTTCACCGTTTTTTTGAATACACGTCATTAACTGCATTATTTTTTTTCTGTACATATCCGTCATATGGACATCACCTTGACATAGTTACCTCACCACTGATAAGCTACTGCTAAATGTAATGTAGAAACTTTCATTTTCTGTGAAGCTGCTATGCAACGAGTCGATTTGTATCGTGAAAAGTGCTATACAAATGAACATGTAGGCTATTGAATTGAATTGATTTTTTTTTCTGAAGAAAGCCAAAAATAAATAGCAATGAAAGCAAAAATATTAAATGCCATGGATGTATGTTTAATGATGAATGCACTATTTTGTAGAGGGGGTCAAAATGACAATTGACAATTTTTACCTGAGATTTGGAGCCAAATTAAAGGGGGATATAAAAACTTTAGCAACAGGATTGGGCATCCCTGCCCTATATGGTTCATTTCCAAAGATCCAGGGATTTCAGTGTTGTTTCCGGAGTAAATTGTTAAATTATACACATCTTCAGAGGTCAAAAAACATGGGTCGCTTTGCATACAGATGATACTTTTTTTTCTTTTAAAGACGAATGTCTGAAGAAAAAATAAAGCTGAAACTGTAAATGTATCTTGTTTCCCAAATAGGGCCTTTAAAATGTAGATTACAAAAGAAAAGTTTCTTAGGGAAGCAGAATTAAAATCAGTTTAAAGCCTCATTTCCAACAAGCAGTACGGTTCAGTATTGTATAGTATAGTACAGTACTATTTAGGACGGTACACTTTGATCCGGCTTGCGTTTCCACCGGCAACTGTACCCTTACTTGATAGGCGTGGTGGAAAGTAGCGATCAACGTCATTCTCATGTGAAGAAGAAAGCACAAATTTGTCTGTGTGTATGTGTGTGAAAATATCACAGTTATTTTTTTTTTGTGTTTGCACACTCTGATGTAAACAACCCCAGCACGCATAAGCAGCATGGCGGCCTTGTGTTGTCATTCCTTGTAGCACGCTCAAGTGATGATTCTGTCAACTAATCAGCATTCTGCAGTGAGTCTAGGTCACCCAATGGAAGGGTCCCAAAATAGTGGTACGGTACAGTTCACTATTTTGGTACCATTCACAAGTTCTGACAATGGAAACGGAAATAATTGTGTACTGTACTGAACCGTACCGCTCTGTGGAAACAAGGCTTAAGATGTCTTTGATACTTCTTTAGTTACAAGCATGCAAACTTCAGAAAAGTAAAATTTTTGGTACTCAGGTATGTTCTATGCAATTGTTTTGATAGAGGGAAATAAACTACATTTCTAGTTTCAACAATATTTATTCTTCTGACATTCCCCTTTAAATACAATAAGCATCAGCTGTATGGAAAGTGACCCACACTTGGTTTTCGACCATTGAAAATGGGTAAAATTCAACAATTTGGACACTGTGTCACCTTGGGATCCCCATATCCCTAGGATTGAACCATATAGGGTTTTAAAAATTAAAATTAAAAAAAGAATTTCTTAACAACCAGAATCTAAAAGGAAATGTAATACTTCTAGAGTTACAGCCACGCAAACTTCAGGTTCTATGCAATTGTTTTGATAGTGGGAAACAAAATACATTTCAAAAGTATCAGCTGTATGCAAAGTGCATTTAACAATTTACTCAAAGAGCTACACTCAAATCCTTAAATCTCTGAAAATGAACTATATAGGGCTTTAAAAATTAAGATACCAAAAGAAAAGAACTAAAATCTGAAAGGATATTAAGATAAAACACTTCTTGAGTTTGTCCCCATTTTTTTAACTGTCAACATTAGTACATAATGCAAAAAATATGGCAAAAAAAACAACAGATTTTACTAATAGACCTAACAATATCTTTGTAAAATTAAAATAATAATGGTGCTCTCTTTCTAAAGTAATTTTAACCCCCTGTAATTTCACTCCGAATCTCAAGTGAAAATTGTAATTTGAACCCCCTTCTACAAAATAGTGGACTACTCAGTAAATAAACATCCATGACACTGGTTGAGTTGGCACGGAATGAACCAGTTATGAGCGCATGCGTAACTAAAAAGGATCCGGAAGTGTAGGACTCACAAAATGTTTACATTAGTTTGCCATACCAGCTGTCTGATCTTATGAGTTACAGCCATCTGTGGAAGTGGAGGTGAAGTGAAGTGCCTCAGACAGATTATAACTTAAGATGTAATCAAGCGGGCAACAGCAGGGGCTTGAGTGGATTAGTTACCCGCACATATGAGCACACCAGCCCTCATGCCACAAGCTGAACCAAGTGTCAAATACATGTTTTCTCAAGCATTACTTTCAATGTACTGATTAAATTGAGAAGGGCTCTTCAGTAGCACGCTATAGGATTTACCCACTAGGGATGCAACAGGTAGCCCACGGTTCAATACATAGCTCGGTTTTGATTTTTGGTTCGGTTATATATTATTTAATATTATTTAAGTGCAAAACCGAGAAGAAAAAAAACCGCAACTCACAAGCACGCATTGAACCGTGGATGTCGTACCGAACGGTTCAATATTATATTGAGAATTGTGGCATCTCTATTACCCACCATAAATGTAGCGCTTATAAAAAAGAATTCATACTTATAAGCATTCAGCAAACTAACTGTTGAACTAACTGTTGTTGAAATGTGCAATGCAACTAGAACGCAATGCCTGACCCTTTTCAGTGTGACGAATGAATCAGTTGTCACGATTTCTCCTTTTGGACTTAATCAAATTGCCATGCCAAGAGTTACACAAAATTAAATTAAAATAGCAAAACTAACTATGCTTTATTTTGAGATGATTAATGGACACTATTTGTGGAATGTACTTCTAGTAGTCAATACTTTAAAACTCTGTATGAATGTGCCAGCATTTATTCTTTGCATAAAACGTAGTTTTAGTTGATGGAATATAGTAAAGAAACAAACAGAATCTAATAGAGGACCATAAATATAAATTGATAGGGGTGCGGGACAAGACCTCAACAGGAGATCAAGGTTTACCCAAATTATTATAGCAGATTTGTTACCCATCACAGGCATGATTTCAAACATAACTGCACAAAAGTAAATGTACAGTTCATTTTTTGTCTACACTTTTAATTTTGGCAATTTATCAAGGTGACATTCAAGGCACTTCCTTTGATATATTCAGGAAACAAGATGGAGCATCATATTTCATTATGTTCTCTAAAAACTAAAAACCATTACCAGTTGTTTATAGCCTATTGTACAAAGTACTTATTCAAACAAAAATAAAAAATCACTTCCTTTCCCATGGCAATGTGACAAAAATGGTTTAGTTCCTGCCTGTTACATTGTGGGGTCAAATAGTTCTACAGGGTCAGTGTAGCTTTAGAACACAAGGGAAATTGTTTTACATCAGTGGTGTTTCCTGACTGGTAATTCCACAAGGATTTTAGTTGTATAACACACAGAAAGCATAAGATTTTAGAATGTTTTTAGTGATCTATTAGCAGTGTTGGGCAAGTTACTCTGAAAATGTAATCAAATTACTGATTACTGATTACTCCTTTTAAAAGTAATCACGTTACTGTTCTGATTACTTTATTTCAAAAGTAATTAGTAATTAGTTACACTACTAGTTACGTTACTTTTTTCTCCATGAAATTTATGAAATCCCAGCATACACGCTCCCAAAAAATATTTGTTATTAAAGCATCAACATTCACAGAACACTGTTATTTTTAACTAAAGCAAGCGGATGCGTGCATGGTTTGACACGGCAGAATGCCAGCAAAGAGCGCTGCAATTATAAGTTAACAAACGTTGGTTTTCACGAGACTCACTGGTCCATGCGCAACACTGACCTCATAGGTCATTCCCCCGGAACTGCTTCCAGTGTACAACAGTGAGCGCAAGCTACATTAAAGTGATTATTACGTTTTGAATATGGATATTTTTCTTACAAAAATTTTTTGGGTGAACTAACCCTTTAAGAGTAATTTTTTTTGCACAAAATACTGATCAACAACCAAACAAAACAACTCTGCTGAACTCAAGAGTGCATCTATTCAACTTCAACATTCAGTATAGCAACCAAAACAAAAGTAAGTGCAAATAACTGGCTACTGTGAGATAACTTCTTGAGGTAATTTCTTATAGTCCGAGTCCTTTCAAACCCTGAATGAATTAATAATAATTAATTCCCAAAAATTAAGTAATCAAGACATTACAAGGTATCAAAACCATTTTCAGCTGACAACCAATTCGGCCTTTTGTTTGTACATACCTGTAGTACCGCGACTGGAGGTACGTCGAGCAGACTGCTTTGGAGACGTGACTAGCTGAGCCAAAGTCTATGACTTTCACCCGGTAGGGCTGCCGTACAGGGTCCACCAGCATGATGTTCTCAGGCTTCAAGTCCGCGTGGATCAGTCCCATGGCCTTCAACTTTTTTAGCGCTGTGGCCACCTGCTGAAGAATGGTACGGATCACCTTCAGAGGAAGCGGGCTGAATTTGTTTTGCTTGAGGAAATCATACAGGTTCTGCTCCAGCATCTCAAACACAAGACAGGTGTGGCTGCGGTGCTGGAAACACTCGAAAGCTCGCACTAGATTATGCTCATCCGCATTCTCGCTGCTGAGGCGTGCCAGGATGCCTACTTCAATCTGGCCCTGTCGTGCATACGATGGATGGTTCTTCAGGATCTTCACCGCCACAATCTCACTGGTGCCTCGTTTCCAGCATTTCACTACCTGGCCGAAAGTACCACGGCCGAGGAAGTCTAATACCTCGTAGGTGTTCTTCAAAGAGCAAAGCAACTCATGCTGCACCAACTGGTAGTCTCCATCCCCGTTTCCGGAATTTCCACCTTGCTTTGCAGGCCCTCCACCAACTGCCGCTGGCACCGCAACTGGTGGGTTTCCCACATTTGATTGCAACATTGCAGGTAACATTGACAGGTCCTCTAAAATCTGCATGGCGCTCCCCAAGTTCTCCAGCTCCCCACTCTTACGTTTCAGCCCGCATCTGTGGGAGCTGTCTTGCAAGTTAAAACCTCCACAGTCTTCCCGGTCACCCTCGTCCTCTCCTCCACCACCTTCACCCTGTCCTCCAACTCCTTCTTTAATGCCGCTTCCCTCTCCCCTACCCCTTCCAGCTGCCCCTGTAGCTCCACTGCTGCAACCCCTTCCTTTTTCCTGGTGCTCCGACTCCTTGTCCTGAGAGGAGATGGCCCCTTTTTGTGGCTTCACCGATTTGGTGGTATGCTGACGTCGCACACCGCGCACAGCAGCCGTTTGCAATGGAAACTCCTGCCCGGGGTGTCTGCCAATCACAGAATCTTGTGTCTTAAACAAAGCGGTGAGTTTTGACGGGTAAGCAATGCCAAAGGTTCTACCATTCAAGTAAGTCTGTGGGTAGGCCCTCTCATGGTAAACACAGTTACTGGGCTCAACTTTGAGTTTCTTCACACTACAAAAGGCACTTGTATGAGTTTGGAAAACATGTGGTGGGTAGACCAAGACTTGTGAGGCCATACCTGTGAACACAAGAAAACCAGATACAGATCATGTTCCACTTTCAACCAATAAATTTACAAATTGTAAGATTTGAACATTTTCAAAGAAACATGGACATTATAAGACTGACCAGCCTATATCTTCCAAAATTCCTGAAAATTTGGCATGACTGTTCTCTATTCAATACTAACTTACAAAATTACTAATGTATGTAGAGGTTTGTAAGTTTGTTGTGTGACATCACAAGTGTCCACTAACTATGTGTAAACAACTTGTGAGGGACCTTGATCCTACTGCGTGCAGTGGCTTGCATCATCAGGCTGACATCATACTTGACCTTTGCCCCTATGCTACAGCAGCAAACAGCAAGCTGCCTTGAGCAGCCAATGACAGGCCAAGATAATAACACACTGCAGCAGAAGGTTTAGTTCCTCCCTCCAATACCAACCAACCCTCCTCTCCCTCCAATACCCACCAACCCTCCTTCCATAAATGCCGTAAAGGGACTACTAACTAACTGTTCACAGGTTGAAATGACCTTTTCATTTCAGTTTCCATGAATCGGGGTCTCTAGGCAACGGCTGTTTCAAAATGAGAATTACTGTGTGGGAGAAAAAAGGACACACCAAAGGCACAGTATCATCTGTGCTTGCATAGCTTCTCTATTCTCAATATATATCCAATTGAGGAAAGACATTGAGTTACATGAAGTTATGCAAACTGCTTTTTTGAGTCACAACTTGTGGTACTACTGTAACTCAATTATTTACATTAAATTTTGCTCTAGGGACAAATCCACCTTGGCCTTGTACAACAGGAAAAAAAATGTTAAGGAAAGGGAACAAGATAAGAGTGTACTTTCTGCAACAGGCCAACACATGACCACAATTCTGAAAAGACGCTGCCAATTTCACATTCATTTGGCTGACATCCTGTGCAAACGTTGTGACTTGTCCAACTCAAATTAATTAATTAACTTTTCTACAGAGTAAAAACCAACTGAGGTGTAGTGAGTGAAGTGAGAAAGGACCATATGAACCATATGAACAAACATTTTAACATTATGTCATACTAACTTATTACATTTTCAGGCTATTTCTTATTTGACAATCATCATATTCATAACTGTCTGTTTACTTGTACTTGTACTTGTATAAATTGATTCTGGCTGTCTTTATGCAACTATCCTTGTAAAATTACTCACTGAATCAGGTGGCTGGTTAAGATTAGCTTAAATCATAAAATTGGGATATAAGGGTATATTTTTTAAGGAAGAAAAATGCATTTCATCACTAAAAAAAAAAAAAAAAAAAGGGGGAAAAAACACCAAATAGTACCATGGAAATACCAAGTTTTTTTTGTTTGTTTTGTTTTGTTTTTTTGTCACGAATGTTAACACTGCAGGACCTGTGGGATTCCTACTCTTAGTGAACATTTCTGCTAAACAGGATGCAAACAGGTAGCTTAGTGTTCCTCATTAAAGTAATTAACCTGTTTTAGTCATATACATCAAATAAATTAAATGACTTTAAGTTTAACCCTCTTTAAACTGCAACCTAAAGTATGTTATTGGTGTGTAACAAACCTCCTGAAACATATTTGAACTACCTAGACAAGAAAAACAAACTAAAACATCACCTGGAAAGTAAATATCCCAAGCAAACCAGCTATTAATCAACTACAATCATGTATCTTAGTCTTATAAAGCACAGTGGTCAATTCCTGTTGTGTTTATTTGTGCTATGCAAACAAATGAAATAAAATGAAATTATATATATATATACTGAGTCCTTAACCATCTTCAAGAAACGACTAAAAACACATCTGTTCCACCTTTATTTGACCCTCTAACGCACGCACTTTCTATTCTATTTTAATTCTACTTTATCTATCTTATTTTTTTTTTATTTTTTTTTTTTTAAAACAACAAAAAACAAACAAACACTAGCTTTCTATTTTTTCTATTCTATCTACTTGTTTTTGTTTGTGTGTGTGTGTGTGTGTTATATATATATATAGAGAGAGAGAGAGAGAGAGAGAGAGAAATTAAATATATATGAAGCACACTTAAAAATAACCCTATACCTTAACCAATAACCCTATCCTAAACCCCGTTAAGCATGAACCCCACAATGCAGCTGACTTCATTGGTCATCTCAATCATGCACATATATACTATACTAAGTATAGCTTTAGTAGAACATCCTGATAGATAGCTGTTTGTCTCAATCAGATTCATCAATGAGATTACTTATCTCTGAACTGAGTCTACGAAATCTGAACTTTTCTTGACAGGTGACCGTGTGATTAAGTTGACTGATAAAATACAGTCAGCCAGAGTTTGGTCTTAACTGGTCTAGTGGGGGACATGTGAACACCTGTAAAGAAGGTCAAGGTCTAATTATGGTGGTGATAGCATATAAGATATCTCATTTGCTGATGGCCTTTCAACATGTTCAATTGTAAGAAAAAAAAATATTGTTCCTCCTTGAGAAAAAAAAAAACACAACAAGGGAAAAGGGAAGAGGAAGTTATAGTCAACAATGTCCCCTGTTTTCACGGAAAATGCAAATGCATATTTACAAAATTCCACAATCTAATTACATTAAATTCTTTGAAAAAAATAAGTAAAACAGCAATGTATTTAACATGGCTGGGTGACATAGACCAAAAAGCTAGCTTTTAAACTATTTAAGCCTCAATAATTTAGATTTTTGTCAAAGAGAATAATGCATTAAAACAATCATTATAATTTTGATGTCATTTCACTTTATAATCAACAATAAAAAGCACTGATATTTGCCTACAAAACAACCACTGGCTCTACACCCCTAAATTCACTACTTTATGTGCCCTCCAGAAGCTTGTGTTCTGCAAGTGACTGGCGCTTTATAATGCCATCCCAAAGACACACAAAATCACTTTCACAGACTTATACCTTACTTGACCCTCTAACATTTGTACTGTCTATTCTATTTCTATTCTAACTACTTGTTTTCTTTTTATTTACTATTTTAAAAAAAACACTAACACTCTCTGTTCCGTATTTATTCTACCTACATTTCTTTTTATTTATTAAAAAACCGTGACCCTTTAACACTAGCACTCTCTATTCTAATTCTATCTACTTGTTTGTTTGTTTTTAAAGACCCTCTAACACTAGCGTGCTCTATTCTTTTTGTATTCTATCCACTTGTTTTCTTTTTATTTATTTAA